GGGCCCTGTCCAGAGTGTGCCGGCTGTTCAAAGCCAATCTGAGTGTGGGAATCCTAATCAGAGTGTTCAAGGCTAATTTGCTGTATGCAGGTGCAAAAGCAAGGACACAGCAATCTTACTTACCCACTGACGGCTCAGGCATGCCTTTCTGTAACCCAAATATTGGTGTCACTATTTGGAAAGAAGCCTCCTTTGTCTAAGTTAGTCTAAAGATGTGTTACTGACCATCCGAGGCTAGGCTGCTTTTATATAGGGGCGGCTGCTCTGTATGTGTTTGCTACTGTATTAGTAAGGGCTACTGTGTGAGCAGTAGTTCCTATGTTTGCTGGACTGCTTTATGTGACAGCTTTGTTAGCTGCTGCCTTGTAAGGCTACTTTGAAGAATTGTTTTGTCTAATGGCTCCTTGTTAGCAATGGCTACATAGTCTGCAATAAAGCCTCTCTTATACACCTATGACGGCTCATTACTTCTTCATCTCATACCCGATGCCCATGACGGTCCAGTCCCTGCCCGAGGGACTCGGACACAACAGTTGGCATAGTCGGCAGGATGAAGGAGTGAGTACTTCCCAACAGACAGTTACTTGAATTAACTTGTAAGACAGCATCTGGCAGACAAAGGGAAGCTACCCTCTAATAATTTTCTAGCCGTTGATTGGTACAGAGCGGTGGAGAAGGTACAAGGCATTGGTATGTGGGGCACATGAGCCACGGGTGTCTGTATGCACATTGAACATATCTGATGGGGTGTACCCTGGAACTGGTGTTGAGAGTCAAATAAGCAAAATATTCTCCTTATTTTTTGATGATTAGTAGTTAATACATTTAAAATGTAGACCGAAACTTTATAGTAAATAGGGGGCAAAAGGTTTGAATGAAATATTATCTTGAAAAGTAATGCTGAAATTATAAAACTTTATTTTATAACATTTTTAAATTATAAAGAACTAATGTAATGCCTTATTACCCAAGTTCATAACTATGTAATTACTAGGGGCCCAATGCACGAATTTGTGCACCTTGAAAGGAACTGTGGGCTGCGAGGCTGTGGTAGGCACAGGGGTGGGTCTCGGCCTATCCTCAGCGCCCCGCCTGGCCCCTCCCCCTGTGGTCCCTGGTCCCCTATCTGCCGGCAGTTTCACTCTTGCCGCCGCTGCTCCCATGTGCTCATGGTGCCGGCCCCACTTGCACCCACTGAAGGCATAGAGCAATTAGGGCCGGCACCAGCAGTGGGTACCAGCAGGGCCGACACCATTAGCGGGTGCGAGCTGCTGTTGCTGCTCCGATCGCCCCCCAGGAGCAGGGAGAGGTGGAGAAGCCCTCAGGGGCGATCAGGGTCTGCAGCCACTGCTTGCACCTGCTGATGGTACCAAGCAATTGGACCAGCGCCAGGCACCAGCAGCAGGTGCTAGCGGCGGCTCTGGCGCCGGCTGTGGGTGCGAGCGGGGCCGTTGCCGGCAGTGGGTGCGAGAGGCGGCTGCTGGCCCTGATCTCCCCTCAGGAGCAGGGGGAGGTGGAGAAGCCCTGAGGGGCGATTGGGCCCGGCAGCCGCTGCTCGCACCCGCTGATGGCACCGAGCAATTGAGACTGGCACCCGGCGCCAGCAGTGGGTGCGAGCGGTGGTTCTGGCACCAGCAGCAGATATGAGTGGGGCTGGCGCCAGCAACAGGTGCAAGCGCCGGGCAGGACCGTGGTGTGAGGGAGCAAAGAATTTTCAGTAACCACCAGAGGCTCGCACACCTGGTCCACCATCCTGCAGCGGCTGACGCCTGCTATGTTCCGCATACGCCCCCTGGTGGTCAGCGCACGTCATAGGAACTGGTTATTCGGTTGTTCCACCATTCAGTCTATTTGCATATTAGCCTTTTATTATAGAGGATTCATATTGTGTGCTTTCAAGTTGGTATAATATGACCTGGTATTCCAGTATGATCTTCTGAGAAGTTAGTGTAAGTTGTTGTAAAACCTCTGTTGTAATATCTTCTGTTTCTTTTAGTCGGCACAGAACCTGCCTATTCCTGCCTCCCCCCCACTCCAGTGTCCCAAGGAAAGAGTGGCATCAGTTGGCAGGCTGTTTGATATTCAGAAAGGAGTGGATTTTACACTGTTGGAATCTGCACACCATGGGAAAATACTTTTTGGTTGAAAATAGATTTTAAAATGTGTAACTTGTTATGGGAACAATTGATAGGAAGACAGGAAAGTTTCTGTGACAAAATTTTGAAAGCTCAGTCTTTTAGCAGCATTTTCCTTTGATTTTCTTAATTGACTGAATTCTTAGTAACTACAAATTGAGACTACAGCTGCCGCTGCAGGTAGACTGCCGGCCTGCCTTCAAGTTAAGCGTTCTATAAGCTGGGACAGGCGGATGCTTATCGTCTATGAACTACGGCAGGTGCAGACTATGAGACTTAGTCACTTCCTCTTTCACCCTGTCAACATCTCATTTGCTTTATGATTAGTTGTCTTTTCTGCTTTTCCTGCTACAATATGAACTTTTTGGAACAGGCACCACATCTTTTAAACTTTCGTTTCCCAGCACGTACCTTCTCATGGGTACTTCCTAAGTGCTTTGAAGCGAATCTACTCATTCCTAAGACTTGTTTTCTAGCACATCACTCCAAAAATGTGGTCATATCTGGATATGTTAAAGAGAATTCTTTTCCTTTATGTTTTTTTTTTTTTAAAATACATCTCTAGGTCAAGTAGAGCCTATTAACTTAAATTGGATAAGTCAGCCGCTTATCCTCTTGTAGCATATTTTCATCTGATTTTTACGATGCAGGGGAAAGTAAAAAATTGTGTAAATGTGGGTATGATGCACATTACTTATTTGATTCATTTATTAAAACTGGTGGCAGTAGCCCTAGCTGGTTTGGCTCAGTGGATAGAGCATCGACCTGCGGACTGAAGGGTCCTGGGTTCGATTCCAGTCAAGGGCACATGCCTGGGTTGCAGGCTTGATCCCCAGTAGGGGGCATGCAGGAGGCAGCCAATCAATGATTCTTTCTCATCATTGATGTTTCTATCTCTCTCTCCCTCTCCCTTCCTCTCTGAAATCAATAAAAACATTTTAAAAAAAAACTGGTGGCAGTGCTTTTAGGGCAACTTCTTTCGTTCTCTTCAGTATTCTCAATGTCAGCATGTGGTGCTTCACTGAACTGACTTGTATGTTTTTACTTTTCTCTGGATTACATTGAAACCAGGTGGGAATTCCTCCCCATTTGCTTTCTTTTTTAAATGCTACGTTTGGTCTTTGTATATTTTAATTGCATTTTTCTCTTGTTTCAAACCAAGGGAACCAAAGCTCCTTTCGAAATATATGCCTTTTTGTGTGTTTTGAGTCAAGATGTTTTTAATGAAATTTAGGGTAGGATGAGTAAAAATCTTGGGATAAACTGATTTTTATATCTATTGTGTCATAGTGTCTAAAGGCTGATCAGGGATTCTTATCCTGAGATTCTTGGATGTTTTCTCAGAGTGCACAAGCCTGAAATGTGCTTACTGTGTGGGTGTGTGTGTGTATACACACATACATTTACAAGAGTTGGCAAAAGTAGGTTTACAGTTTTGAGTACCCAAAACACAGTTTATAGTTGTATTATTACTTATTTTTGTGTTATATGTTTTTGACTGCCATTTTTCATGTTTGTTGTTTCTAGTGCAGTGGGTCTTTGATTAGCAGCCCCTCCTCACCCGGTACCCTCACACACGTTGTTTCTTACAATTCCTCATTGAACTGGGCGATTTGATAACCTGGCTTGAGTGAATTATTGAGGGACACTGTGAGTGATGGCCCGAGGAGACAACAGTGGAGTGAAGTGCTTGGGCTTTGTAACAGCTGTTCTTGATATTCGGTGGTCTGTTTCCCTTCCATCTGCTTTTGGAATTGAATTCTGGAGGATTCATGGGGCTAGATCAGTGATGGCGAACCTTTTGAGCTCGGCGTGTCAGCATTTTGAAAAACCCTAACTTAACTCTGGTGCTGTGTCACATATAGAAATTTTTTTTATATTTGCAACCATAGTAAAACAAAGATTTATATTTTTGATATTTATTTTATATATTTAAATGCCATTTAACAGAAAAATCAACCAAAAAAATGAGTTCGCGTGTCACCTCTGACATGCGTGTCATAGGTTCGCCATCACTGGGCTAGGTTATGATCCTGTGTAAGTGAAGGCCTATGGAGGGGCTAGGCTATGATCCCGTGCAAGTGAAGGCCTATGGAGGGGGCTAGGTTATGATCCTGTGTAAGTGAAGGCCTATGGAGGGGCTAGGCTATGATCCCGTGTAAGTGAAGGCCTATGGAGGGGGCTAGGTTATGATCCCGTGTAAGTGAAGGCCTATGGAGGGGGCTAGGTTATGATCCTGTGTAAGTGAAGGCCTATGGAGGGGGCTAGGCTATGATCCTGTGTAAGTGAAGGCCTATGGAGGGGCTAGGCTATGATCCTGTGTAAGTGAAGGCCTATGGAGGGGGCTAGGCTATGATCCCGTGTAAGTGAAGGCCTATGGAGGGGGTAGTTACGATCCTGTGTAAGTGAAGGCCTATGGAGGGGCTAGGCTATGATCCTGTGTAAGTGAAGGCCTATGGAGGGGCTAGGCTATGATCCTGTGTAAGTGAAGGCCTATGGAGGGGGCTAGGCTATGATCCCGTGTAAGTGAAGGGCTATGGAGGGGGTAGTTACGATCCTGTGTAAGTGAAGGCCTATGGAGGGGGTAGTTACGATCCTGTGTAAGTGAAGGCATATAGAATTCTCATTCTCTTGCAATTGTCACAGATTCACCTGTTCTGAGTAAATGCTGCCCTTCCTTATGACTAAAGTTTTACTCTTTATATTTTAATTACGAAAGATTTGGGAACATTTTCTAAAACGACTGTAATAAAATATAACAAAAAAGCATTCAAACTTTAGATATTGCATTGCTTGCTTTTCCCTACTCTCATTGGGTGAATGCGCATTTGTTTCTGGCTGGTACTCATTTCTCTTGGTCATTAGGTTGCCCCCAGTGATGAAGCTGTGGTGACATTATTGTGTGAATGGGCTGTGAGCTGTAAACGGTCCGGCAAGCACAGGGCGATGGCAGTGGCGAAACTCTTGGAGAAGAGGCAAGCGGAAATCGAGGCCGAGGTGGGTGTTCCTGTCTGCTTGTTGAATGCCATCATTTAAACATTATGTTTTGGGAAGGATTCTTTTTTCTTATCCTCATTATACTATATTTTTTCTTTTAAAGGAAAAAGGGAGAATGTACAAATTCATGGCAGGATCTCTCTAAGATTCTCTGTTAACGAAGTCAATAGTTCATATACTGGACTAACTTACAATTATCTTTTATTTTTATTTTTTCTCTATTGATTAAGGTACTACATATGTGTCCATATCCCCCATTGTCTCTCCCCCCAACCCCCCACTCTTGCCCTCACCCCCCTGTTGTCTGTGTCCATTGGTTGGGCTTATATGCATGCATACACGTCCTTTGGTTGATCTCTCCCCCTTACCCCTACCTTCCCCTACCTTCCCTCTGAGGTTTGACAGTCTGATCGATGCTTCTCTGTCTCTGGATCTGTTTTTGTTCATCATTTTATGTTGTTCATTAGATTTCACAAATGAGTGAGATCATGTGACATTATCTTTCTCTGACTGGCTTATTTTGCTTAGCATAATGCTCTCCAGTTCCATCCATGCTGTTGCAAATGGTAAGAATTCCTTCTTTTTTACCGCAGCATGGTATTCCATTGTGTAGATGTACCATTGTTTTTTAATCCACTCATCTGCTGATGGGCACTTAGCCTGTTTCCAAATCTTAGCTATGGTGAATTGTGCTGCTATGAACATAGGGGTGCCCTTTACCACAAGTGACATCATCAGATATATGCACATAAGGGTGCATATATCCTTTCTGAGTGATGTTTCTAGTTTCTTGGGATATAGTCCTAGAAGTGGGATCACTGGGTCAAATGGGAGTTCCATTTTTAGTTTTTTGAGGAAGCTCCATACTGTTCTCCACAGTGGCTGCACCAGTCTGCATTCCCACCACCAGTGCACGAGGGTTCCTTTTTCTCTGCATCCTTGCCAGCACTTGTCGTTTGTTGAACAATTATCTTTTAAAACAAAACTTTAATATCTAAGAACAAAGAACTCTTCCTTTGCGAGGTTAAGATACATACACACAAGTATATATATATATATATATATATATATATATATATATATATCTTATTATATATGTTTGTGTATATATTTTTATATTATGGATTTTAAAGCCACATAATATTTTAGTGGAACCAGAAGTGCTTTGCCTATGAATTTATAGGTAGCAGTTTGTATTATTTTTTGAGATTGTGTTCTGGCCCCAGAGAAGGCAATTATGGCCTCAGCAGTAGATTATTATGGGAAAACAGAGCTAGCTTCATAAACATGAGCTTTTGTTGAAGGGAACATTTTTAAGCGAGCCTCTTTTTGTGCCTGTGAAATTCTGCAGGGTCAGCTCTGGAGAAGGTGTGATTTGACCAGGCCACTTCCTCTCTCACCTCGACACCTGTTGGGCCTCCTACCTTGTTTCTTCATAGCTAGACCCATCTTTTCAAAGTGGGAACAGATCACACTGTCCCCTTACTAAAACTCCATGGTGGGTCCTTACATGGCCCACAGAGCCTCGAGGGCTGCCCTACCTGCCTCTCCCCCCGCCATCTCCTACCTTTTTCCTCTGGGACACACATGACTGCAGACGCCTTGGACTTTCTGTCTGTCCCTCCATCACTCCAAACTCGCTTTTATCTTTGGGTCTTTGCCCCTGCTGTTTCTTCTGGTGGCACACCCTGCTCCCCAATTTTCACATGGCCAGTTTCTTTCTGCCATTCCTATTTCAGAAAGTGTCACTGTCTTTGTAGCATCCCCAGCTCAACATGTGTCACCTCCTCAGTCACTCTTCTCACATCACTCTGTTTTACTTTCCTCAGTGGCTTATTGTTTAACACCTGCCTGCCTCTGGGATGTAAGCTCAACAATAGGAACCCGAGTACCCAGAGTAGTGCTCAGTGCATAGTAGATGCTCAATAAATGTTGCATGAATGGATGAGCACTTAGCTGGCTCTCTGTTACTGACAATGCACCTACTTCCTATGAAGCTATTAAAAAACGAAATAGGAAGGATGTTTTCATTGATATCTCTTTTTGGAAGGTACCGTTCACCAGATACAAAAGATCATGTTGTTGAAATTGGGGCTTGAAGATATTGATATTAAGGTGTAAGACACGAGCCCATTTTGCAATGTGCAAATTAGAAAGAAGGGTTTCATTGCTTTTTTTCTATACATTTATGAATAGACTATTCTACAAGTGAATTGAAATGATAAAAGTTTAGTAACTAAAGTTGAATTCTCAGATTTCATTGTTGCTTCTGGATTGTTGTTGTCATTCCCTCCCTCCACCCATTGTGTCCCAGAATGAACACACACACACACACACACACACACACAATCAATTTCAGAAGAGGTTCACACACATTGCTTTGTAATTTTAATAGGTGTAACTGTATTCTTTCAGAGATGTTTAAGATAATTGATTTCTAATTAACATCAAAATTTGACCTTTATAAAGAAAGGATGGCTTGGAGAAATATGTTAATATAGTAATTAATAACTTAATATTGAAGAATAAGGATCAAAGGGATATTGAAGAGAATAAAAAACAAGGATCTGATTGCTTCTAAACTATTTTTTTTCTGGTTTTGTACTAAGTTTTATCTTTTTTAAAAAATTAATAATTCATTTAAAGAATAGTTTATTGATTTTTAGAAAGGAAAGATGGGAGAGGGAGAGGAAGAGAAAGAGAGAAACATCAATGTGAGAGGGTAACATTGATTGGCTGCCTCCTGCATGTCCCCTATGAGGATTGAGCCTGAAACTCCGGACATGTGCCCTGACCAGGAATCGAACCGGCAATCTCTCAGTGCTCGGGATGACACCCACCTGAGCCACACCAGCCAGGGCAGTAAGTTCTATCTTAGGAGTACACAGGTTGAACAGTTTCTCTAGATGTGTTTCATGAACTGTGGAGAGTCCCAGAGGTTCTGAGAGATCTCATTGGTAAAATGTGATGAATAAGTGAAAGAACCTTATTGGGGGAATTATGTTAGCTTTCTTATTCCACACCACACTTCTCCACACACACTTGTAAATACCCCCACCTGACCAAAACAAACACAAAAGAATGGAACTCAATAATACATTGCCAAACATTTCTTAGGGGGAATACAGTTAAGCATGAGCTATTTAAAAATGATGACCTCAAATTATTTTTAGCAGTTGGTACAGGAATACTGAGTAGTGTATTTTGTACTATGTTGTGTATTTAATGGATGCTCATACAGTACTGTGTAGAGTTTATAATTCAGATGAATAATGTTTTTCAGGGGTATGGTTTGAAATCATTTCAATTGTTCTGGATTAGCTTCCTGAACTTGTAAAATTATATTTACCTACTATGCATGGCCTACAAATATATAGAGAAAACTCAATTAATTTATATTTTATCTGAGAACTTAAATTTTAATGAGAAACTAACCTATTCATGACCAACAGTGACCATACTTGTCCTTTATAACTTACTGTGCTTGTTTACTTTTAATCTTTAGAGATGTGGGGAGTCAGAGGTCTTAGATGAGAAGGAGTCCATTTCTTCTGCGTCTCTTGCTGGATCTAGTTTGCCTGTTTTCCAGAATGTTCTGCTAAGGTTTTTAGATACACAGGCCCCCTCATTGTGTAAGTAAATCTCTTTGCTTTTAGATCTTAAATAAGGGAATGGCCTCCACCCCCTTCTTTTAAAGCTGTTTCTTCTTTCTTTAAATTTTTATTTGCATCTTATCAGAAGTTCTTGGCACTGAATATAATGTATATTTTACTGAACAAAATTTTGTGGCATGTTTTCAATGGATATTTTTGTGCAATTTTAAAATTAGGTGAACTTCAAAGGTTTAAAATTTTGTAGAGTTTAAAAATAAAGTGCCTCCTTCCTTTGTAATTAGTGGACTAATTTTCCCTTTATAGATCTTTCTTATCAAAATAGAGGAGCTAAGATGTTTCACTGTATATTGTGATTTGGAAATTTCTCTTTTCAAACCATTTTCTAAATTTTTTATTTTCTAACTTTGCATCTTAAAAGGTGGGTAGAGGGTGGGAATCAAATAACAGTACTTTATAACAAGGTCCTAGATACAAGGAAATTATTTGTAAAGATGGTTGGCTGCTTGCTAACTCTCTCTTGGATGTTCATGTCATCTTATATTCTTTTTCTTTTATTCTGTAGTTGGTGGCAAGTTGAGGGTTTGGGGAATAAACCACCCAGTAGGTTCATACTGTGGGTGCCACTTTAAAAAATCTTTGTGTGAGCTAAATGGGCTTGATCTTATTCTGAGGCTTTTATGTGTCAGAGTGCAGCAGGGAGGGTCTTAGGATAGATAGTGATAGAACAACAGAAAAATGGCAAAGAGTGAAAAGTGATAGAAAAGGGAGAAAAAGAGTGGAGGGAGGGGAAGGAAGATGTTTGTGAAGAAGAAAAAGGTAAAGCATCTAGAAATAGCCCTGCTTCCAATTCCTCTGAGAAGGGCCTCCTTTTGGGTTGAGTGATGCCTAGGGGTCTTTAGTTATTTTGTGGCTGGTCGAGTTCAGAGGAAGAGAAAGAGCTGGAGTCAAGCTGATTGTTGGAATGTAGGGAGAGAAATGAAACATGGAAGTGAAGCAGGGAAATGAGAAGACAGGAGATATACCGGATAGAGAGTATATTGCCAGTAGTGGAAATTAGCAGCTCTAACGTCTCTTGTGTCCGGGGGAGACACACGTTTGCCCTGGGCTTCCTTGTCCGACCCACTCCTGTTCTCTCTCTGGGAAATACGTCCTTCTCTGCCACTGCTTGTTCTGGATTCCATTTTCTGTCAGAGAAGCTGCTTGTGTCTCCGTGCAGAGGCTGCTGTATTGAATGTGGTGGTGGACGAGAGCAGGCATTTAGGTGTCAGGTTTAATGTTCCCTAGATGCTCTGTTCGTCTCTGTGTTTGCAAGTGTGCTGGGACTGGGGCTGAGCTTTGCAGGGTTAGCCTTAACATTTTTAACCTCTCAAAGGTACAGATACAAAGTTTTAGAGTGCAGTTACAATATTAAAAGTCATAATGTAAATTAAATAGACTGGTTATGAATTAAAAAAGACAGAAGAGCTTCTGTCTATGCTCTTTGAATTTCATTTTCCCTTTTTCTTTTCAGTGGATCCCGCTCATTTTTTAAATTTTAATTACCATTTGAATTGTGGTTCTGTTGTGAAATCTCCTTGGGAAAAATGTATAATGTGCCCCACAAATACACAGACACACTCAAACTCTGAAAGCAGCCACAAGCAGTTTTAGTGATAAAACCAGAGGACAGCAATCTTGGCCTGTGTTTTTGTTTTGTTTTGTTTTTAACTTCAAATTCTGTGTGTTTATATTATTATTTAAATGACTATTCATTTGCCAGGGCCCACTATCTTTAAACTTGAAGTTGTACTTAGCATACTGGATAGTATTTTTAATTGCAGTGGGACAGTCAAAACCTGTGAGCCATTTCTATACAAAACAATAGTGCCTCATAGGAAATTTGGCAATAATCGTTGATTTTGTAAAAAAAAATTGTGAAAAGTGGTGCTAATATTGTTAAGCCTTAGCAATATTTTTATAAAATTTATTTACCTTTTAACGAGATCAGTGGAAACTGAATTTTTGATGGAATTGTTTCTATAGCGGATCCAAACAGTGAATGTGAGAAGGCGGAGTTTGTGAACCTGGTGCTGCTCTTCTGCGAGTTCATCCGGCACGATGTCTTCTCTCACGACGCTTACATGTGCACCCTCATCTCCCGGGGAGACCTGTCCGTCACCTCCTCCACTCGGCCACGGTCGCCTTCGGGAGAAAATGCAGATGAGCACTACCCCAAGGATCATGACATGAAGATGGAGGTATGGCCCTGGGAGGGTGTGCCTGCTCCCCTCATTTCCCCAACCTGCTCCGAAGGATGTGTGATGGAAGGGTGATCACTTTTTTTTAAAAAAAATATATATTTTATTGATTTTTTACAGAGAGGAAGGGAGAGGGATAGAGAGTTAGAAACATCAATGAGAGAGAAACATCGATCAGCTGCCTCCTGCACATTTCCCACTGGGGATGTGCCCGCAACCAAGGTACATGCCCTTGACCGGAATCGAACCTGGGATCCTTCAGTCCGCAGACCGACGCTCTATCCACTGAGCCAAACCAGTCAGGGCTGGTGATCACTTTTTAATTGTATTCTCTTGTTTCAAAGCTCATGTATCTCTACTTCTGCTCACAAAAAAACAGACTATAATTTACATCTTCCAGAGTTTTCTTTTGGATACTCTAAAACTATTAATGAAAAGATTTGACAGGCCATAATATCTTTCTTTGGATTAAAAATATGTGCTTCCAGTTTTATGTATTTCTAATCCCCAGTTTCCTTTAATGTTTGTCTCAAAAATGGACTTGTTTTGACCCTAAAGTCCTGGTTTAGTGTTCATTCTAAGGAGCATCTTCCCTGATGTATTTTGTTCATTAATTGTACCAGTCTTTTATACATAGTGGGAAATTCTGTGTTAGTCTTAACACATTATGTCTTCATTCAATGAATGAAAAATTTAATATCTATTTCTCAAATGTTTTAAAGTTAAGTTGTTCTTTTCAACAAATTATTTTATGCAGTGAGTATGAATTTATAATTTTCTGCCAATTTCTGATATTTTGGACATTGTTCCAGATACTTATTGAAATTTTCAAGGCAAAAAAACATGAAGTTGGTGATGGGAAATAGTAGAAAATGGTGAGAGATTATGACAATTCCTTAACAATAAAACCTCTTGTTGGTTGTATGAGAGTTTAAGTATATAATATTATATTTTTTAAACCAGCACCTATACTTGTAATTTAAAAACCTGACATTAGAATTATACACATTGATTCATAGTTTATACTCTTAAGATTTGGTGACTAAATGGTATAGGAATTTAAAAAAATCTTTAGTGTAAATACATTTGTTTCTAAATTTGTCCACAGTATAAGTTATATAGGGTGAAAAAATTAAAGCTACTTTACCTGTTTAGGCTTTTTCTATGTTTCTGATTTTTCTTTTTTTGTTCTTCAATATCAAGATATCTTAGCTTAGATTTTTCTTACTAAGAAAAGTTGGTGAGCATGTGACTGGGAATAGCCCAGGGAAGGAGATTATGGTCAGTTTGTTTTTATCAGGACCTTCCTGTGCTCTTCCCTTAAAAAAATCATGGAAGTTGAATCTTTCTCATCACGAGGACAAAGAGTGTGACTTTCCAAAGCAATGCATACCTTAAACCTTCTTTATTTTTGGAAAAGATACTAAGAGGAAATAAGAGGGTGGTTAAAAATGTTACTGTCCTGCTTTAGCATCAGTTTCTTAATGAGCTACACCATCTATTATGTGACTTCCTTTCTCTGACCATCATCAGGGACAGACTGTTATGGCACATATGGGTATTGGCTCAGGAACTATTGATCTTTTTGATGAAGTAGACAAGTGACTTTAAAACTGACTTGGGTTCGCAATTCCCAGTAGGTTAACCATTGAATTATTATTGACTATGAATCCCTCCCCGACCCCGACCCCAGCTGGGCTCTGCCCTCTGTTTCTTGCTCAGGCACTGGAATGACCTGTGTGCTTGCGATGTAAATGTGACCCCAGCACATTCCTCCCCAGGGCACAGTCCATCAGCTCTGCAGTTGTTTCCTGATGGTTCATCCTTGGTTTCATCTGTACTGCCTCCTTGGGAAATTTAACACTCCTGCCCTCCTAGACCTTTTGTTCCTTTTGAGATCGGCATCTCTCAGGAAAAAGGAGTGTAGTAGTTTCATCAGGACAGTGCATGTTGATTTGCCGCATATGTATTTAGCTTCAAAATAGTAGCTTTCCTGGCTTTGGACTTGCTATACATTCTTTTACTTTATCTAAGTATAATTATGTGCTCTTCCCCATGAATCTTAATGAGTCCCTCTTTATAGAAAATATTGTTTCCTCTTTATGTTATTCATTAGCTTGTTAACTATTTCAGTGCATGTGTTTTTGTAGGAAATGTAGCCCTAAGAGGAAAACACTGACCTGTAGTCTGATCTGTCTCTGGCCCCCCAGGAAATACAACTGGGCCCATTTCTCATGTGTGTGGTCGTCATGGTCTCATCTTCAAAATGGCGGACGATGGCGACAGCTTCCTAGTGATCTGAATATGAAGTTTATGGAAATAAACACAATTTCTGTATATATTTTGCTCAGTGGTTAAATAAGGAAAGGATATTGTTTGAGTGTTTTGTGTGTTGGAAGCTCTGTATGCAGTTCTGGTGTTGGCTTCACTCTCTTTCATTTATAACCTCCACCATTTGCTTTACACGACTTAGATTTTTTCTCCTATGCCTGGAGAGTCCTGTGAGATCATCAACCCTTCCTTGGGCAGAAGAATGTCAGTTAATGGTGAGAAGCTGCTGAAGAGAGAAAAACCAAGAGAGTTGATTTTTCCATCTAATTATGACCTCCTGCGACACCTGCAGTATGCAACACATTTTCCCATACCTCTGGTAAGTCAGCGCGTCAGTCAGTTGACAACCTGATTATTTCATTAGAGGATGATTAGCCATTGACTATTCAACTACTTGCCTGAACAGTACATGTGATAGCAGGTGAGTGTTTGTATTCATTGCTTCTTTTGTTATAACTCTGACCATATGGTTTATGTACTGATGAGTGCCCATGTGTGGTGTGGTACTACTAGCTGACTAGATTTAACAGAATTTACTATATTAATGTCCTTTTATTGAGCATTTGAGTCACTGCAAATAATGGCTAAATTTGTTTTCCTACTTCAATTTGAAACTCATTTATTGAGTAGCATTTATGTGCACTGTATTGTGGTAGTTACTTTTGGTATTATGAAGATGAATAACAATTTATGGACACAGGAAAGATGAATAAGATAGGAGGAGACTAATGTCTATAAAATGACAAGCATTAAAAAGTACAATGAGTAAAAACCCAAGTGCCCACTGGAAGGTGAACCATTAGACATTTTTGGGTTTCTTCCACTCTCCAAGAGTAAATATTGGAAGGGAGAGAGAGATCTGATTGAGAAATTGGTTAGGGCTTCATGGAAGAGGTTGTATGTGAGATGGATTTGGATTTTGACCTTTTGAATTTAAGAACTGGAGAGCACATGGGAAATACTTGCCAGGAAATTTAGTGTGTGAATTATAAAGAGTGAAGTGCTCTATTTTAAAGGGAAACAAGTTTAGTTTTTGTTATTAGTAATGAAGATTGGGCCAAGATCTGTAAATGTTTTTATTCTTAGGTTCACTATCATTTTTTTCTGGGATTTTAAGTATAATTTTAATGAGTAAATCTCATTGAACACTATTATTATTTTAGCAAAAATATAATTTTAGGTATTCATTATGTTATTTCCTGGATATCTTTGAGGAGTTTTGATCTGCAGACTAAATATTTTATTACATTTGTTTATTTATTGATTGATTGATTGGTTATTTTGGAACTTCCTCTGAAATGACTTTCAAAATCACTACACCCATGTATTTTTTCCCCTTTATTAAATTAAGAACCCTTTTTTTGGTGTGAACTTTTCTATGTCCAGGGTTATGTCAAAAGTTGCCATAATTTTTTCGTGTTCATTACTGACTGACTGTATCAACATTATTTTTTTTAATCTTCACTCGAGGATATTTTTGCCATTGAATTTTAGAGAGAGTGGAAGGGAGAAGGAGAAACAGAGAGAAACATTGATGTGAGAGAGACACATCAGTTGGTTGTCTCCCACATGCCCCCAACTAGGGCCAGGAGCCTGCAACCGGGGTATGTGCCCTTGACCGGAATCAAACCTGGGATCCTTCACTCCACGGGCCGACGCTCTGTCCACTGAGCCAAACTGGGTAGGGCTGTATCAACACTTATCAGCTGTTACCTGTGTCACTCATTTTTAATATAATGGAATAATCTTATAGTTTATTCAGGACAGCAGAAAGAGTAGCCTGATATTTAGAGCTGTATCCTGAAGAATTCCTGGATGAACTATCATGATATCTGGGATTTGTTTTAAAATAGAGTCAGGGGGCCGAGTAATTGAAGTGGAGTGTAGTTAACAGTAACGCACCGGTGTTAATATCCCAGTTTTGACAAATGTGTTGTGGGTGTGTAAGGCATTAACATTAGGGCAAAATGGGATGAAGGGTATGTGGGAACTCTACCATATTTGTACCTTTCTTACAAATTTTATATTACTTCAAAATAAAAGGTTTATTTTAGAAAAAGAAGAAAATGGAGAGGGGGAAATGAAGCAAATATGGCAGTGTTGAGAATGGTTGAAGGTGGGTGAGCAGAGCTTCGCAGGGCTCCCCTCCATGTGCCTGGTGTCAGAGCAGGGCGCTCCCCACACACTTCTTCATTCTTTTGTTCACATCTTTAGCAACACCGTCATCCCCGGCGTTTAGTATTCTAAACACTGTCCACTAACTTCCCTGAGGAAAGAACATGAATTACTTCTAATGGCTAATTCTCATGATGAATTATGATATAATTCAATTGTATTGCAATCATAAAAAGAACTAATAAATGGATGTGGCAGGGTATATTTCAGAGCCTTCCATCGCCAGTTGCCCTAAACCCCTTTATACTGTGAGTATAATTAGAAGGCATCAATAAAGGGAAATAAAAATGTCGTAGAGTCTGGTTCTCTTCTTTACTAAAAAGGAAAATTAGGCTGATTTATCAAGCAAGTGAGGAGACTATAAGAATATGATTTAAAACAAAGGTTCTTTTACCTCTCTCTCTAAGATGCGGCCCTAGTGACTGAAGGCCAAGGAGAGAGGACTAAAGCGGACTTGACCAAAGAGTTTTGAAAAATAGACTAGTTTCATGTATTCTCCTATAGGAATAATGTCTTGATCTGCCCATCAGTAAAAACATGTCCTTAGAATACCAACAAGCACAGGTTCTAGGATAGGCATCCTACCAGCCTGTCGGGGTCAAACATGTGATGCCGATGGGGGCTCCTGTCAATAACACTCGACAGCTAGCATTTGTTCAGAACTTACCATGTTGTGAGTGCAATAGGCACTTTTGTGTGTGTATTTTCTTATTTATCATTCTCTTCAAACTCAAAGAATATATTTGTGAAATTGTAGACAGGAGTTGTCTTGGGTCAGGCTTTAGAAAATAATAATTCTTAATGCAGATCTAAAAAGGAGTATGGAATCAAACTTGTTTTGTTACTTTCCAGGAACATAGTTTCTTAATCATGGCAGCTAATGTTCATGGATTACCAATTGTTTTAATATGAGCTTTTACTATTGGGATGAAAACCCCCCACAAAACTTCATGTATGTTTGTCCAAACTTTGTAATCTTCTTTTCTTTAAATAAGTGTCTTATTTCATCATCTATTGAATCGTTTCTGCATTACTGGTAGTAGAGAGATCGAAGGGTGTGACCCTTAGAGCAGGAGTCACCCACACTCCAGTGTGCTGGCCTCAGATGGGGTCACTCACCTTCAGGATCTGGGTGGCAGCAGCCAGCCTAGCACCACTGCTTTCCTAACCAGGCCTTGTGTGGAGTGGGCATATCTATTTTAAGACCATTTGACTGATGCTCTTTTTCCATAACTTCAATGTGAGTTTCTAGTTCCAAAACAGTAGTTTGGCAGTTAGTATAATTTAACAATTCCCCTTGAAAATGTTATAGGGTCTATTTCATATTACTATAAAATAAAAATAAGAAATCACTGAATTTGTCATACTAACAGCAGAAAGTTATTGGAGTAGTGAGCTGAAAGGTGGATTAAAAATAAATCAGGTTTCATATAAAAATAAGCTGGCTTTTTTTTTTTAAGTGATCTAAAAGACTTTAAATTGTGTGGCTGAAGGGCTATGGCAACTTACGTAGAGTTTATATGAGGAGGTCAATGGCGCTAACCCCTTCACAGTAAAAAATCTACATAGAACTTGTGATTCCCCCCAAACTTATCTGCCAATAGTGCACTGTTGACCGGAAGCCTTACTGATTTCATAAACAGTTGGTGGACACATATTTTTTTACATTATATGCATTATGTATTGTATTCTTATAATAAAGTTAGCTTGAACAAATAAAATGTTATTGAAAAAAATCATAAGGAAGAGAAAATGCGTTTACAGTACCATATGTATTTATTGAAAAAAAATTGCGTGTAAGTGGACCCATGCAGTTCAAACCTCTATTTAAGGGCCACCTTTATTTTGCATATTTTTCTCAAGAAGTCAGTTCCAGGTATTTCAGTGAACACCTCACGAACACCTCTGTGCCCGCCATAGAAGTCATTTGGATTTCAAGGATATTGCAGGGTTTTACATTGGTTTAACAAGAATTTTTAGTTTTTTTGTACAAATATTTGCCTTAACAACCAAGAAGTACTGCTTGGTTTGCATTTAAAAACAGGGTTTCACAGTAAACTATGCCACATTTGCTAACTGTCTGTACTTTTACATTCTGAGGCTCTCTTTTTCTCCTCTTTTCCAGTTGTTTTGCACTTGTTGTTCAGTAAGGGAAGAAGTTGCAGCATAAAGTTATAGCACAATCCCATGGTTTATGCATCATTTTCACAACGTGATTTTTCTTTCTGAGCCCTGCTCTCCTTACCTGAAGCAAAAGTTGCAGTGACCTTCAAGCGGAATGCCTTTGAGAGCTGATAGTACAGGAGAGGGTCAAAGCACAAATTTGACACCGCCAGGAGCAGCGTGGCCTCTTTGGCTTTGAAGAGGGAAATCCTGGTTGGACAGTCAGATATGACCTCGGTCTGGCTGAGTGTGTATGGAATTCTGACAATGTGATAAGGAACAAAACATATAATGTAGGCTGTAGTCACTAAAAGTATGTTGACGAGAGCTCTTTTCACATTTGAATAATTTTCATTATCTTTGTTTCTGTAGAGTTGTCGAATTACTAGGCAGTTTGATATCAAAATGATGGCTGAGAAATTTAAAAATATAGCTATGCATATGAAGTTTGTCAGCAAATGCCAATTTCTTCCAAACTCCTTTTTGAATTCCATGCATCCTACGTTTGGCTTTTCCTTGATATCTTTGATGGGAATCACCATGTTTGGCACCGTTATCAGAAGGACCATTCCCCACACGACAGCCGATATCATTTTGCCAAATCCAGGTTCTTGTATTCGATAAATCTTGCAGCTGTGTGTTAATTGAAGACAGCGGTCAATGCTGACAAATGCTAAGAAGATAATCGATAAGTACATATTAATGTAGATGAGGCAGGCTGTTACTTGGCAGTGGAATATCCTCAGCTTCCAGGGTGCCACACCCAAGTCAACAGCAATTTTCACTGGTAATGCCAGAGTGAGCAGGAAATCGGCTGTAAGCAAATTAATTAAGTATATGCTTACACACCTCTGATTTGTGTTTTTCTGCATGAAAGCCCATGTTGCAAAACAACTTCCAATAATTCCAATAAGGAAAACTAAGTAAAAGAAATATGTGAATGGCTCCAGATCTCTGTAAACTGGACAGAAGGTAGAACTGTTTGTCATCTTGTGCGAAAGTAAGGATGACTCTTCTAAAAAACAAAATTTTAAAAATTTGTTAAAAGAGAAGGGAAGAGAGGTTAGTAATTAAAATTAGAAATTACTTCCTTTAAAATAACTTGAACTAACAATACCTCCGTCCCAATCTTTCTGGTTCTTAGAATTTTTCTGATGAGCTCTTCTAAATCATGTGGACTGGTGGGAACATCTTAGCTTATGAGGAAGCCTGGGTTTTCCATGGTCTAATTTTGTGTTTTTGGGAAATCCCATTAGGTTAGCTTCTAAAAGGCATATTTTTTAAAAAATATATTTTATTGATTTTTTACAGAGAGGAAGGGAGATGGAGAGAGAGTTAGAAACATCGATGAGAGAGAAACATTGATCAGCTGCCTCCTGCACACTCCCCACCGGGGATGTGCCTGCAACCAAGGTACATGCCCTTGACCGGAATCGAACCTGGGACCCTTGAATCCACAGGCTGACGCTCTATCCACTGAGCCAAACTGGTTAGGGCAAAAGGCATACTTTTGCCTTCTGATAGCTCTTGTTACCAGTTGGCTTGGAAGTTTGCAGAGGAGATAAGTAAACTGAAATTCTGAGAACTAGAGTTGAAACGAGGGTAAAATGGTTTGGTTGTGGCTGAGCCGGAAGAGCTGAATGAGGCTATCTGGCTTTCTTTGCTTATAGGTTGATAGAACTGCTCGTGCTGGAGGAACCTAGACTGAGGGGGTGGTAAGAGTAACAAAGTTGTACTAAAATTTAAAAGTAGGTATTTCAAAAGTAGGTTATTATCTAACCTACTAGAACATTTTCACAATCAAAATTTTATTTTATTTTTCTTTTTAGCAGAAAGAGTTAAAGGATTAGAGTCCAGTCCAGAACTGATGCTTATTACCTCCCTTTTTCTGGCTCCAGTTTCATGGTATAGACCTGTGGTGTCCACTATGATGGTAGGCTGTCACCACGTGTGACTACTGAGCATTTGAAATGTGGCCAGTCCAGATTGACATGCGTTGTAAATGCAGAATACACACTGGGTTTTAAAGATTTAGTACAAAATATTTTTTAAAATAGTACAAGTAATAAAATTGTATTCATTTATGCAAATAATACAACAATTAGTAAAATATCTCATTAATATTTTCATACTGAGCACATGTCAAAATATTTTTGATGTATTAGGTTAAATATAATATTAAGATTAGTTTATCCTGTTTCTTTTTGCTATTTTAAATGCAGCTACTAGATAATTTTAAAGTGCCTCTGTGGTTTGCATTATATTTCTATTGGACAGTGCTTGTATAGATGTTTCTGTGTTCTTAGTATTTTTGAGAAATTTCAAGAATGTATTTTAAAGGCTTCTAGAACTAGGATACATGACATTGGTAACAAAACTCTCAAAGAAAAGCTCAGTTATATTAGTATCAAAACGTCTAACGTTAACACTTCAGAGCGTTTTCTTCCTCTTTCACTGTGGGTTTTGAGGCAGTCAAGCTAGAAGTAGAAGACATGCCCTTAGAACCACTGTGATTTACACAATACCATGTTCCTCCAAGTCTGGAACATTGGGTGTTAGAAGCACAAGTTAAACCAATTGGACTTCACTCACTGCTTTTGCCCTGGTCCAGTGCCCCTGATACCCCAAGGTCGCGGGCACTTCTTTCTGGGGCTGCTTCTTGAGATGCTCCCTCCTCATGCATATTAAGTACCTTTCTTTTGTTTTAACAAGAAGAGTATTTTTGTGTTTTAGCCATAAAAATGGATAGATAACTTTTTAAATGTAGTAACTAGTAAGTATAGTGGCTGATTAAGAAGGCCAGATAAGCCTATTCACTCAAACTTCCCTTAAAAAAAAAAATAACCAAAACTGCTGAAGCCTTTCTGAATCTTAATTCTCCTTAATTATTTAATGATCCATTGTGCGCATCTTGGGATGAAACAGTATGCAAATGGATTGATAAGGCAGCGGTACATAAATCTTTCTAAATTCATGCCATGGAAAGGGTACATGTCCTCCCCACTTTCGGACCTGAGAGAGGATTTTAGAGTCCACAAATGGTCATAAACTCAATGGAAACAATTAAGTACTGACTTTGGGTCTGGCACTATGCTAAGGACTTTACATGAACCTATTAACCTTCCATCATTACTACCATGTAGGTATTATTATTCCTGTTTTCCAGATGAGAAAACTGAGGCACAATAGGTTAAGTAACGCCAAAGATTATATGGTTGGATATAGAGCCAGGATTCCAAATCGGGCCATCTGATCTCAGAAACCACTCCAAAAGTCTGTCCCAACAATAATAGTGTTAACAATGATGATGGTGATGGTAATTATTATTATTATTATTATTATTATTGCCAACCTTTACTAAGGGCAGCAACTATATTCTAAGCAATTTTCATTCTTAATTTTTTTCTAAATACTAATAAAAGAAGTTTAGGCTTCATGTATTTTGATGTTTCATTTTATAATATATATTACAGTGGAACCTCTTTTCTCAAACTTAATTTGTTCCAGAAGGCTGTTTGAAAACCAAATCATTTTTCCCCATTAGTAAATTGAGTTAATCCGTTCCAGACCCCCAAATGATTTTCTGGTTTAACCTTTCTTGCATACAGTACATGTCTACTGTACTGTTTAATGTATAAATAAACACTTAAAAAACAAAAAGGACATGAAATGTAAATGAAAATTTAACAAAAAGGAAAGGAAATGTACAGTAAAAAATGAAAATTTAACAATTAAAAGCAAAAAAGCATGAAAATATTCACAGCACAATATCCTGAGGTAAACTGACTCATGTTCACACATTCTCTCCTTTGTTTGTCACCTGAGAGATGTGTGACTGGTCATAACAGTATCAGCATGAAAGGGTTGTCAGGTTGAGAAGCAAGTTGTTTGAGATGGGAAATGTTCGAGAAATGTGGTTCCACTGTATTTCAAAACCAAACCAAGGTTCTATCCTTGAAACCTAACCTTTACTTTTGAAGTTCCCATGACCTAGTCTCTCCATACCTCCCTACTGTCTTTGTCCCTCCTCGCTACTTTAGATGGGTGGGATCTCCTCTGTTCTGTGAACTGTTTCTTCTGCCTTTGTATTTTTGGTTGTAATTAAATTGTGGGATCAGAGGACTTTAAGGATGGAGGGAGCCTTTATTGGTAGCAGTTAGTCCAATCCCCAGACCATCTGAGGAAACTGAGGTCTGCACTTGGGCTGCTCAAGGCTTCACAGTTAGAGCAGGGTAGGCTCTGACCTTGATCGCTTTCTGGACGTTCTGCCTTTATCCTCCCTAAACTGGAGTCCTGCCTGTCCTAAATGCCTGGAGGAAGCTCTTCACATCTAAAGTCTAACCCAGGCTTCACTGACTTCCTTAGGACCGGTTTTCCATAGTAACCAGTGTGTGTGCTGTGACTTCCTGAGCACTTTTTCTTCTCTGGCCAGAAGGTAATGGTGCAGATTGGCCCCTGTCTCCCATCTTTGTTCATTGTTCCTTTATAAGGAACTAGGATTTTGGCTTATGTGCTTGTATTTCAAATATTACATAATAGTAACATACTAATGTGCCTTTTTATTTTATTATTTTTTTAAGTTTGTTTTTATGGATTTCTGAGAGAAGAAGGGAGAAAGAGAGAGAGAAATGTTGATGAGAGAGAAACATCTTTTGGCTGCCTCCTGCACGCCACCCACTGGGGGTCGAACCCGAAACCTGGGCATGCGCTCTGACCAGGAATCGAACCAGCGACCTCCTGGTGCATGGGACAGTGCTCAACCAACTGAGTCATACTGGCTGAGCATAATGTGCTTTTTAAAAGTGCCCCATTGCTCATACCATTCTACAATAAAGCCCTATTTTATAGAAGAATGTATAGTAAACATGGATTAGAGAAGGATTGTTTGGATCAATTAATATTCTCTGTAACTGGCACTGACCATATATACCACCCATAAGTAATTTATTTAAAAATAATCGCAGTGTGTTTATGTATTCAATAATGCTTGTGAATCACATAGTGCTT